GTTGTGGGACTAGAGTATGAGGGCTGTTGTCAGCCTCAAGCGCGCCACAGAAGCACATGACCACCAAAGCAATGGAGTTACTGGAGTGGTCGACATACATCTGGTTTGCCAAATGTACATGCCAGCTCGGAGCAGCTCAAGCCAGGAGCACCCCAAAAAAACAGCGACGGCCATCTCGAAGCCCATACAACCCATCCATCCATCCCATCCATCCCCTCTCCAGCCTGCCTCCAGCTCTGCTCGCCTGACCTCCTCCAGCTTCTTCTGCCGCCGCCCGAAGTCATAGCGCCGCCGTGACAGCTCGGCCCAGTGCCCTGACCGGTCGACCGGCGCGTGGACCGATACCTGAGGGGACGTGTAAAGGAAGCGTCGTCAGATTGACAGATTTCGGGTGATTTTGGAGGTTTGGTGGGGGGTTGAGACAACGTGAGTCTGAGTTTCTTCCATTGGTGGGGGATTAAATAGAGTCTTGGTAGGAAAAGTGCAACGTGTGCTCCTCCAACGTCCAAGTTTGGTGGGGTTGGGCAATGGCTGCAAAGGGAGGCTGGTGAATGGAGTTGAAAAAAGTGAACCCAGGAGGTCACCTGCTGGAGTGGATGATGAGAGGGTGTGATCATCTACCGCATGCACTTTGTAACCTACCTAACACATCTAAGACGAACTCTAAGGTGGAATAGCTGGCCCCAAGGCCGACATCTTTTCTTCCAATGACCACCACTATGTCACCACTTATCAAAAACTCCACAGGCTGGCAGAAGGATCATTTATGTCTCTTCAGCTATGAGTTGGATTGTGGTTTCACGTCCCAGCTACTACCAGCATCTACCAGCTCCTTCAAACTGATATCTGTGGGATTTTGTGGGGCTTCTTTGGTCATCTTGAGGAGAAAAAGAAACTACAAGTTCCAGTGATGTGGACCGCTGTATTCCTTCATTGAGCTTCGGCCAATACGTATGATTCACCCTCTATGTCGTATCAAGTTCTTACGCTGGTGCTTGCGCGTTGTTTACGCAACCACAGTTTTAGCTTACGTGAGGCCTTGGTTAACAAAAGTCCTACGCTAAGCTTACGCCATGAGACAATTATGATTCCGAAAGGTTCCCCCAAAGGATTTGCTTACGCAGCAATACATGTTGTTCTTCATGTTCTTGTAAAGAACAGCACATACGCACACCTTACACAACACGTGTGTTCAACATGGAGCTTACGCAACCTTACGCATCACAATGTTTTCCATACGCCACAGATTGATATAACATAGATTAATGGAATGCCAAGGGAGGTTTTGGCTATTGCTCAATTGAAGTCACTTCGTAGCTCTCGAGTACCGATTAGAACAGCACTCGAAGATATTCGATGTGAACCCCTTTTCCGTCCTTGACCAATTGCAGAATCAGAATGGCTTTAGACTCCCGTAGCTTGAGGTACGACGATAAGTAGAGTCTTGGAGCCATTAACTTGGACGGACATTTCCCCCAGCACCGGCCAAGAGGCTAGAAAACTCCTCTCTGAGGTTCTTGGGAGCCTTCCATCAGCACGTGCGCGAGGCAACTGCCCACGTGGCGCAAGCGCAATCCGATGTGCTGTCTAACTACCATCCATCCAACATCCTCCTGTTCATCTATCCAAACCATCCAAGGCCATGCAGAAGTGGGAACCGGTGGACTCATCCAACATCAGCCACGGTGACCCACCCCCCATCCTTATCTCCATCCCGGGACCCGTGCTACTCGTTCGAGACAAATTCCACCCAGTGGACCCAAGTTGAAGAGGATCAAAACCAATCACCTTCAAAACCATCCAAGGTATATATTTATGTATTATATATACTATATGTTTATATAATTTTATATCTATAACATCCCAAAGAAGCTGATTCAATCTGCACCCAACATGCAGACTGTTCCTCCAACCTCCCCATCCCCTATCCTCTGCCAAGATCGAGGCCAAGCCCTCTTTCTGTCGATGAAACTCTTCCTCCTCCAACTCCTCTTGGGCTCAAAGCGCATCCCCGGTCACTGCCACTGCTTCCAAAGCAGTTCCGAAAGACGCATTTGGGGAAACAAAACCAAGGACATGTTAATGTTGACCTTTGATTTATAAACGACCCTAGAATAATGTCACTTTTTTTCCTGCACAGATTTATAAAGGCCCCCAGAATAATGTCTTTTTTTTTGGGAGGGGTAGTTGTAGTGGGATATTTGTTATTGTTATAGTTTTCTTTTTCCCTTTTGAGTTTGCTGGGATTTGCTTATCTTACAGGCTTTTGGATTGAGATTTCTATCAAACATTTGGAGATTTCCATTGAGATTTGATGCTTTTGGAGGCTTTTGGATGGAGATTTCTATTGAAAATTTGAAGATTTCCATTGAGATTTGATGCGCACTTTCTTTATAAAATCCCTTATTCAAAAGTATTGAAAAACAAAAAAAATCATTCAAGCAAAGGGGGTAGTCCAGCAAGCAGCTTTCT